TGCCACGAGCCAACCTTACAGGCCCCCCCCCCCCCCAAATAGCTAGCAATCCAAAACAGTCCAGTGGAGCCTGAGTGGTGAGTGTTGCCTTCTGGCACACTTCCGGTGATGTCAGGGGGTGTGGCATATGCAAATGAGTTATGCTAATGAGTTATGCTGATGAGCTCCTGCACCTCTTTCTCTACAAAATGACCCCTGGACAGTACTGATCTTGGTGGACCAAGGGTCTCATTCAGTATAAGGCAGCTTTGTGTACGTTGGGGAGGGGCCGTGGCTCAGTGGCAGAGCTTTGTGTGCAGAAGGTCCCAAGTTTCTATCCTCGGCATCTCTAATTAAAGGATCAGGCAGGGGGTGATGTGAAAGACCTCCTGCCTTCTAGCCATTGCCAGTCAGAGTAGATAGTACTCTGGTAGACCAGTGGTTTTATTCGATATAAGACAGCTTTGTGTGGCAGGGTGTGGCCGGTTCACATCAAATGCTTGTTTGCATACTTTCCCCTTCAAGACAATCCCATAATGTGCTATCCTGACAAGGATTTGGGCTCAATACTACTACTACTACTACTGTTGTTGTTGGAGTACCTTCCCTCTCTTCATCCCTCATTTCTGCATAAACTTCACTCAGGGTTCCATACATTTGTGGGTGCAAATAAAGCATTCTGGCTTCATTAGCAATTTGTAGATCTTGACATGTTCCCTGAAGGATAAATAAGAAAGATTCTACATCCTGCACTGAGCACTAGGTGGCCTGTGTGGCCTCTTCCAACTCTGTGGTTTTATCATCTCCCTTCTGATAATGGTAGAATTCCCTCTGTTCTGCTGAGGTAAATTCCTCACTTCTCTGAGGAATGAGTAATTCAGCACTTAACTGTAGTACAGGCCCGAAACTAGCATTTTTTCAGGAGGGGGTGCGGGGCGCCAAGGGGGGGGTGCTAATTTAATTAACGGTTAAGTAAATCTACAAATTGCTGACAAAGCCAGAATGCTTTAAGACCATTTCCCTTTTCACATAAACCAGGGATCCCTTCTAAGTTGAACCCACTGAATTACTGGGTAAGAAATATCCTCCTCTTTCTAGGAGCGATAATCCTTTTCTGTTTGGCTAGACTAGCCGTTTTCAACCTCCTGTCCAGTCTCTTCTGTCAAACCTAAACCCACGGGTCATTTCCTGCGGGAGCCCACAGGAGCGGAGCTCCCGCAGTAAAGAGCCCAGGGGGCGGGCACATGCAACTAGCCCCACCCCCTGCTCTCAGCAGCCCTCAGTCAGAGCAAGAAGCAGCCAGGTAAGTTGCAGAGCCCCCCCCCAGCCCCCCCGTCCAAAACAGTCCAGTGACACCTTTAAGACCAAGTTTTATTCGGGTACAAGCTCTCCCTCCTCTGCGAGGACAGATCTGCGTGTTCCCTCCAACCCAATAGCTAGCAATTCAAAACAGTCCAGTGACACCTTTAAGACCAAGTTTTATTCGGGTACAAGCTCTCCCTCCTCTGCGAGGACAGATCTGCGTGTTCCCTCCAACCCAATAGCTAGCAATTCAAAACAGTCCAGTGACACCTTTAAGACCAAGTTTTATTCAGGTACAAGCTCTCCCTCCTCTGCGAGGACAGATCTGCACGTCCCCCCCCCCCAATAGCTAGCAATCCAAAACAGTCCAGTGGAGCCTAAGCGGTGGGTGTTAGTAGTTCTGACACACTTCTGGTGATGTCAGGGGGTGTGACATATGCAAATAAGTTATGCTAATGAGTTATGCTGATGAGCTCCTGCACCTCTTTTTCTACGAAATGACCCCTGCCTAAACCTCAGTTCTGGACGCTGTGAATGAACGAAATTCAGCTAAGGCTGACACTTAGACTTTAAGTTCTGATTTCTGAACTTTTCCTCAAATGTGTTGGTACACAAGTAAGGGCAAGGAGTTGTGTCTCTTCACTTCCCAAGTGAACTTGTCTGTTCCCCTCAGACCAACACACACACACTCCTTCAATGCTCCCTCCAAGCTGTGGAGTCTTGTGAGCAAAAATTCTACTTTGTGAGCTACTACTGGCATTAAAGTCGTGAGCGAGCGATTTGGCTGCTGCATCAATTAGTTTGCTCTGGAGCCCTCCTTCCTGAGCTGAGACAAAAAATGTGTGAGCCAGAGGCTAAAAAACTGTGGGCTAGCTCACACTAACTCAGCTTAGAGGGAAGGCTGCACTCCTCCTGACTGGCTACTTCCAAGTCAAAGTCCAAACCAGGACTGACTCCCTCTGACAAGACTGACAAGACTTTTTAAAGCTCTCCTCAGCTGGCACTGGCCAATCAGAGAGAAGGGGTGTGTGCACGCAGTCAGCAGCCTGTCAATCAAACTGTGCTTTAACCCCTAATCTTCCATTAACCCCTAATCTTCCAGTTCACTGCTTTTGATACACTGAGCATCCTGGTTTTGTCACAGTTGGCAACCCTATAAATCCTAGGCCTGACTAGTCACATTTTGGAGGTTTTTTTGGATCGGTCCAGGGGTCACCCATGGCTATTAGACAGAAAGATGAAAGGGAGTTTACGCCGTGCCTCCGCTCTCTGCTCTCCCAGCAAAATGGCTTCCACACTGGTTATCTTTGGATAGGCCAGAGGTCACTTCGGGGGGGATCGCGGGGGATCGCAGTTCCCCCGGGTGAGGTACGGGGGGCGGGGCACATGATGAAGCCCCACCCCCTGCTTCTGGCCGCCCCGCTTCCGGCCCTCATTCATCCAGGAGGAGGCAGGAGAAGAGGGAGGGTAAGTTGCTTCCTCCCTGCCTCTCCCCACCCCTGCCTGCCTGGGGCCAGGGAGGGCCTTCGCGGGGCTTCCTTGCACTCCCGCCGGCCTTGCAGGTCCACCGCCGGGCCCCTCATGGGGCTCGGCAGTGGAGCTGCAAGGCCGGCGGCGGCCGGGACCATTGGGGCGGGGTGTGTGGCCTTATGACACACTTCCGGTGATGTCAGGGTGTGTGGCATATGCTAATGAGTTATGCTAATGAGTTCCCCTAGCTCTTTTTCTACGAAACGACCCCTGGGATAGGCATTTGATCAAACACCCGTCTGGGAATCGTGGAAGAAAGTCTGATCCTATTAAGCTGTTTTAAAACAGCTCGTAAAGCAGTTGCACAATGCATGCCCTGTCAGGCAGCAGCAGTATCTTTCATGCAAGTTTATTTAAACAGAGATGCAGTCATTAAGTAGAGGCTTGAGATAACGCCAGGCACGTGTAGAGATACCTAAAAATAATGTCTGGTGTACTTTGGAAAACTGTGCATATTTTATTGCAAGACAAATATATATGTCTTTGAGGCCTCTGTGGAGAGGTAAAGATAGGTTCTCCAGCTTTGACAGAGCTTGGGGGGCAATGAGTTAGCAGTCAGAAGCCTGTCATGTGCAGCACTGATTGGCTGGCAGCTGAGATGTCACACACTCCCCTGTCCTCCCTCTTTCTCTGAATTCTTTTCTTCCTGATATATGGACTTGTTCTAAAGATTCAGTTGTGTAGATATATGCTTCTAAATGTTAACATTGTAGGAAAACCTCTAGTCCTTCTACGTCCATGAGAAGTAATTACATTTTATAAGAGCGGAGCTAAATGTATAAACCTACAATCTCTTTTACTCCCTGCAAATTGTTTTTGTTTGTTTTCTAAAGCAAGAAGAAAGCAACAATTTAAAGGGGGAGACTGGGGCAGGGGGTGGAGCTTTTTAGCTCTTTAGTGGTGTTTCCTTGCTGATATTGCTACTCCAAAGCTAGTACCTCTGTTGGGAGAAATCTATATATACCCTTAAGCTCCCTGCCAAGTGTGG